AAATAGTCAGATGGTGGCTATTGTTTCCTGAGGGACAAGCCCTTATATGGAAACACCAGACAAGCCTGAAAACAAAAGTTTATGCCACCCTACAGTATAGACAGACTCACAAACAAGACAAGACAAACAAGGAGAAAGCAGGGGGTGGGGAGTCCCAACACTTACCTGTTGAAGGGACCAAAAGCACACAACGTAGAGGGCCTACTCATCAAAATACACCACTCAAGGGGGGCTGCTTAATCAGTGCCACACATGAAGAAAGGGAGACTAACAGGTCTCTGTTCAGGCACCAGATGTGGCAGGGTCCTGTGCTGTTCCCTTTGGCAGAGGGGGTGAGTAGACACAGAGTCAACAACACAGACTCTGGAAGGATGTTGAAACAACAACCCCAGTTTATTCAGGAAGAGGCAAGCCTTATATTCCCTCCACCCCACCCCAGGGAAAGGTCTGATGAATATGCATCTGCTGGGCTGACATGGCTGCCTCTCATTGGTACAGGTCATCTCAGATCATGTCTCAGCTGCTGTTGCTAAGAGCCTTAGGCAGACCCAGGTTGGCTCTCAGAAAGTATCTTATTACTAGCTTGGGCTGGCTGGCCCTCAAGCCTGTTAGGGCTGAGTTGTCCCACAGGACAGAATTTGGAGAATCAATTTATCAGAAAGTATATGAAGGTTTTGATACCAGTAAACCTTGCTTGGACATCTCCTGGGGGATGCCTTTCTGTACACTCTGAATATACGTTATTCCCATTGGTTAATAAATAAGGTGCTTTGGCCTATGGCAAGGCAGCTTAGAGGCAGGTGGGAAATCCAAGGAGAGAGACAGAAAAGAGAAAGGTGGAGTGAGGGAGAAGCTAGCTGCCACCAAAGGAGCAGCAAGATGGCAGCATACCGGTAATGCCATGGCCACATGGCAACTTACAGCTGAATAGAAATGGGTTAGGTTATAAGAGCTAGCTAACAGGAAGCCTGCCATAGGCCATACAATTGGCAATTAACATTAAGCCTCTGAGTGATTCTTTTATAAGTGGCTGAGAGACCGAGGGGTTGGGCGGGACCTGAGAAAACTGATGGCTACAGACATCAGGTGTCAACAGCACTTGTTTTGGCATTGCTGCCAAACTCCTGTTGGATCTTCCTGCTTCCGTTGCTGTGAAGGTCAGCAACTTTGGTTTAGTTGGAGTGGGATGTGCTCAGACTCTGAGGCCTGGTGTGAACTCTGTCTGCTCTGGTAGAATGGAAGAGCTTTAATGCAGGAGGCCACAAAGTTGAACTTGCCTTGAAATTGGAGGCTTAATTCATTTGAAAGAAACCTCTGGGAATGGATTTCAGAAGATTTGGCCTTAATATATTTCCATGTGTCCAGCAGTCTCTCCCCTCCCCAATTCTAAGAAGGTGATCGAATCCAAGGTTGATTAAACGGGAGTTGTATTTTAAATATATAGACAGTTCCCTGTTGGCTTGTTATCTAGTTATCAATGCTCCCATCATGCAGCCATCTCTACACTGTTTAAATGTATTTAACTGTTAAGTGTGCTACTTACCAATAATGAAATAGACATTTATGAAAACTATGGGAAGAATTAAATCTGTTTCACAACAATGTAAATATATGCAATACCACTGAACTCTGTGCTTAAAATCATTATGAGTAAGGAAAAATCCTTATGTCTAACATATGTGTGATATTTATAGTCGGGAAATACTTGGGGCAACTCATATGTTCTTTGTATCATTTTCTGTGTACTAGTATAAGTATGACTTGCTTTTATAATCTAATAAATATTTGAAAGAACTAAAATTATTCAAGTTCTTTTCTTCTCTCCTCAATTCTTAGTAGAATTAGGCAGATATTTTCAAATGTTTTTTGGAAAGATGGCAGGAATACAAAAGAGTAACATATTCTATGAAGAGAAAGGAAGATGGAAAGAAGGGCTGAGGGCAGGAGCTTAGTGTGCCCACCGTGGCCTCCTGACAGTGCCCCAGCACTGCCATTCATGGACATGGTATTTACCCCAGAGCCTTCTGCTCCCCATGAGTGTTATGTTTTCACAAGTTAGTTATTCAGACCTTTCAAAAATCTAACACCCTTTTCCAGCATTATCTGTTAATGAATGATAATGACTGGACAAACGGGCCCAGTAAATTAGATCCCCTTCTGTTTAGAAAGGGGTCACAGAAGTGAGTCGAAAGGATCATGTTGACAGGTTACAAGGGTCCACCAGCTGCATCCCCTGTTGGAGACATGACATTGGAGGATGCTGGTCCTGATGGGGAATCCATACATTTGACACACTGGACACTTTAACAACCACCGTCCCTTGGAGTCAGGCTCTATGTGAGACCTCCACAGCACCTCCTCTGGAAATCTGAGTTGCCATGTGGGGTAAATCCATGCTTGGAAGTCAGATGGCTGTTGGTAAGTTACTTGTTCTTTGCAAAAATTAAGAACCCATACTGGGACTGCCACTTGGTACAGAAAGGAGGAGCAATAGAGGAACCAGCAGGAAAACTTGGACATCCCTCTCAGAATGTCCTGTCCCATGCAGCTGCTCCACAGACTAGGTTGTCTCTTAAATGGCAGCTCTAAAGTTGTTACTGCTCTGAAATAAAGTCTCAGGAGAACATCATATTCTTACATAACACTTAAATGAAGTATAGTGAACACTTCACAAGTCTGAACTCAAAGCACTCTTGAAAATGAAACCAGTGAAATATTAGGGATGAGTAACTGTGTCAAATAGCATCCCAATTCCCTTGCTACTTACACTAGAAGTTCAGCCTCTCTCTAAATTATTGTGCTGTTTTCTTAACTTGTATGCCAATTGTATCATTATAACTCTCATCTGTGTTAGTAATAAATGAATTGATAGAATATAAATATGAAAAAGGCATCTCTGTCTTTATATAAAACCAAAGTCAAAAGTCTTAGAAAGACTCAACAGAAAAGAGTCCCC